TTTTTTTTTTTTGATCGTTTTATTTGCTTTTCGCAAATCATTTTTGTCATCTTTATTTACCAAAAGGTAAAAATCCTTTAACAGCTTCCAATGCACCGGAAACAGCAGTTTTTGCCTTCTCAACCTGTTCGGTTAATCCGAGCTGTCCAATTATTCCTAAAAATTAAATCAACATCTTTTTTAAAGGCCATTTTTCATGAAACAAATCAAGTTTCTAAAAGTAAGAGCTGTCACTAGACTGAAATTTATAAGTTTGTTTTGACTTCTTGTTCAATTTATTTCAATCTATTTTCGCATACCGTCATCTTCTTCTCCCATTTCTTTGTTGATCTCTTCCGGTGTTTTTCGGACACCTGTGCCAATTCGTCCGGCAGTCATATCAAACGGAAGGCCATCTTCTTTTTTTTGAATATTGTACTACAAACAGAATAGTTGTAAAGGTTAGTTTAAAATACAAAGCTGATACTGGCTTGTTAACGTTCACTATTCATAATCATTACTGTCTACTCTTTAATAACTACCAAAAAACTTGTCTTAGTTTTTCAGTTGACAAAACCAATTTCAATCCAAATTTGTATGTAGAAAGCATTAACAATTTTCTAAAAAAAAATGTTGCTTTTTGGTTTGAAATCAGAAGAAAACTGTCAAGATGCAGAAGATTTAAGAAAGGTTTATTGAGCAAAAAAAAAAAACTGTGTTACTGAAGTATAACAAAAATTGTTCTTACTTTTGAACGAATATTTTGACGCATCTTTTCTCTTTCAGCTTCCATCTTACGATGTCGTTCCTTACGCCTTTCTTCTTGCTCTAATCTAGCTGCTACAACCTAAACGTCAACCATACAATGATCAATCAATTACTTTAGTTACCTACAGTTTTTTTTTTTTAAATTTCAGACCTACATTAATTTTATAAAAATGTAGTTAAAAAGTAGTAGTGATAATAATCACATAACTTAGTCGTTAAAAACAAAGTAGTAATGTAAAAAAAAAAGCTGATAAAAAAAGCCGATTTAATCAAAACTAATAAATAAGCATTAAAAACTGCTAAAATATCTTACAGAAAACAGCTTTTTTTTGAACCGTAATGATTTCCCAGTGGTATAAGAAAAGATAAACTGTTGAACAATGAACTAACTATTATGGTTTAGAAGCTACTAAATGCTTGTGTTTTTACTTAGAAATTTTTCCGAATCTTTTGACAGCATTTGATACAGTAAAGAAACTAAGCTGTTTGGAAGCACTAAAGTTGTCAAAGTTGATCGACTTAGCTACAGCTTACAGTGATTTATATCTGCTTTTTTTGCATAAGTTTTTTAAAAATTAAGAATTGAAAAATATTTTTATGTTTTTCTAGATTGCACTTAAAAATTGTAAAAAATTAATTGCAGATTTTTAAAGAAGAATAAGTCGTAATTTAACAGTCTAGTTGTTTGATCTCAATCAAATTTTCATGTTGCTGAAGCAAAACTTTCAGTGGCTTGTTGGTGGTCTCAGAAAGTTTGTTTAAAGCGTTCCAATAAACAGCGGTAGAATCGGTGCGGAAATAAAAATTCCAAAGCATACCTCTGGATCTTCGCCTGTTTCTGTTTTTTCACCACCTTCACCGTCAGCTCCACTTAGTTTATCGAAACCTCCTTTAAAATAAACATATTAAAAAAAGCCGACACATAAATTAAAATTCAATTAGTCTATAAAAGAGAAAAAAAGAAGAATTTGTTAACTGATTGAAACTGAAAACTATAAGTCATCAATTTACAACTAAGATTTGTTGCATTAACACATCATTTTACTGTCTGTTGTGTTTCTGCTATACTTACTTTATTGCATAAATTCTGTAACTGTACTCAAAAACTGAATAAGTCGACATAAACAAAAACCAAATTAATATGCAAGTGTAAATTTACAGTAAATTGTGCTTTCAGTTGAAATGATTAATTGGCTAAACTTTAAAAACGTTTTTACTTTTATAAGCCGATTACTCTTTCACATTTGTTCATTATAGTAGCCGAAAATGCTTGTTATTTATCTGCCTGTTCTTTTGTCTTAGTAAATTATTAGTAAAACTCAGTCTAGAAAGGAAATTAAGTGTGAAATAAACTTTCTTGAAATCTTTCAGTCAAAAAAA